TGATGTCCACCACTACTATATTATAGTGGGAGAAGACTATGAATGCAGCAAGTGCAAAAAAAGGGTAAGTTTAATTTTTGATCCCGAAATGAACATAAATTTATTAATTATCACAACAAATATGAAAACAATACTTATACAAAGGGCTATTGATTCAAGAAATTCATTTTATGCTTTTTGATGATTCATAGGGAAATATCACTGAAATGGAATTGGTAAGTCACTGTTTAAAACTGTAAAAATTACCACTCAGAACATTCGTTTGTTCGAGATTCAGGATGAAATAGACCGTCAAGCATGCCAGGCTCAAAATTAAGAAATAACGTCATTACATCACATAATGAATTATTTGAGATTTTCAAAATAAAAGGAGGGAGACTTATTTCTCTGTAAAAGAAGTTCAAGTTATGACCCAACACCATTTTATTTTACAGGTTATTAGTTGGAGCCAGAGTATTTTGGAGCAACTTGACTTGACCTAGCGCAGCAAGTTCTTCTGTATCCTGACAGACAGTTATGGCTGCTATCTGAAAGTTGTCAGGATGATGCGGCAGAGGACACTTGGAAACAGCAGTAGCCTAGCCTGCAAACAGGTATAATACTATACATCTAACCAATTGTAAAGTTTCAATCCTTCGGTTACAGGCTACAGTTATTTTTAAATTGTTCTGAACTTAATGTGGAATTAAAGGAGTTCTGTCATATTGTCAGTGCATTGCAGATGGTTAGACATTATCAAAAACTTGATTAATGAGCCTTACTAATTATTGAATCATATTTTGACAAAGAAGACGTTAGGACTAAATATTCAGCCTGACTATCTTATCTTATGACCTTAATAAGTTAATATGTGTATACAGATGAGACTGGGCACATTTAGACTGCACTAATTTGGTTTAAACATTGGTGCCTGACTGCCTGTTTGAAAACAAATTTATCATTGTATTATGGCCACTATTTTGTCTGTTGATAACATTGACTGATCTTTCTCAGATTGCTGAGAATCACAGGGAGACCTACCTAGATAAGTGCCGCCAGTATGCCGCCAACTTTATGGCCTTCAAAAAGTCTGCAGCCAAGGGGTTGGTGACTATCCAGGCATTTGTAGAGCCAGCGCCAGTAATGGACATCCCCAGGCACCGCGGGTTCATGAAAGAGTACCAGCTGGACGTCATTTCAAGACTTGACTATGAGCTGGCAGAGTTGACGTAGGTTACTGGGGACATACTTAAAATTAGGGATGTCATCTGAAGCCGAAACGGCCATCGGGATATCCGAATCAAACATCCGGATACATCCGGATGTTCGGAATGTTGTTACATTCTTATATGTCTGATATGACGTAACCATTTTTTCGCGACCTTTTTCAAAGTGTAGTATGTCGTTATTGAATGTTACATACCAAAAATTGTCTGTTATTGATTTTATTTCTTCTATATAGAATACGACTGTTATCAATAAATTTAGTGCGTATGGTACTTACGATTTCAAATGAAATAAAAACGAAATTCAACGCAGATTGTCTAAATTACTCAATTAGTGCTATAATTCACAATAACACTCGCTCACATTTGTGTAAACAAAAAAATACCCGTAAAAAATTAAATATAATGTTTCCATTGTTCAATTACACGCATACAATTTACACACGATGACCTTTGACAGGCGTGTAACCGGCTTTTCAGAAGTATCTGCCAATCTTTGATGTTTACCATCATGAAGCCCTTGCTGTTTGATTCGAATCATCAAAAAGGGTTGCCGAAAATTACATAATTACACACATTTTAAGTGTTCCTAAGTGAAAAAAAAAAATGGGAAAAAAATGTTTTTTTTAATAAAATGCACATGTTTGATTAATACTAAAGGAGAAAAGTATTTTGTTGGATAATTTTCATATCAATGTCAATAAAAGATGTGATAATTAATATATTATTATTCGTAAGTGCATTTCTTGATTTGATTATTTTATTTCTGCAGATTTTTCATTGTCTCTAAATAAGGAGTCGCCGAAATATATATAAAAATAATAGCCTAATTAATATTTAAATTTGGACATAAAAATGAAACATCGTTGCCGATGACATTCGCACGGGAATTAGAATATTCATCTTGAATCTTACAACACTTTAATTTGATTAACAACATGTGTCATACCCGACTCATAATTATTATAGTAATTATTGATTTTTTGTGGTCTGCAGAGATTATATTATGATGTGTATTGTCAAACTAAGGTACAATATACAATACGGTGTCAACACCATGTCTACAATTATCTCAACGCATGTATCTATCACATTTTCTTATTTCTAAAATATTTTATTCGAACATCCGGATCAGAAAATCGACTCCGGACACCGAATCGTGATCCGAACGTTCGGATATCCGGACTCCCAATGACATCCCTACTTAAAATAGACTCTACTAAGACAATTATAAATAAGCTTGTAGGTAAGCTAAAGATTACATCTTCATCATCACTTCCGTTTCCGGTTTCCGGTTTCCGGAATAAACAAAGTTTTTGTTATCAACACAAATAAACGTTCTAAATAAAGGTGTTTAACCGCAGTTACTATAACTATATCAACGTATAACATTAGCATACAGGCATCACTACTGGGCACAACCAGATTCTACCCTCTAGACCTTCTAGAAGCAAATCAACAACTACACTAACCTCGCCTTCTAGAAGAATACCCCACCCACTACTGTTATTATTAGCGTGTAGTCCTTTCCGTCCTCCGAAACTTTCGAACCATTTTATTAAATTTTAGCATTTTACATATATATATTAATATTTTATTTGTCTGTTTGCCACGTCTCAAAATTATTAAAGTGTTGTTTATATTATTGATCATATTGGATCACAGGGTGTGTTTGGTTTGTTCGCCTGTTTACGTGTGTCATTCTTAATAAGAACAGCATAAATACAGTATTTTATATTTATTTTTATAAAATTTTAATCACAGTATATACAAATTGGCGGCTGGTCCGCAGCTATGTTGAACAAGATGGCCCGTAAAGGGCCATCTCGTCACCATTTGGACCATTCGAGGATCTTGGGCAAGCCCATAGATCAACGAGAGGCCCATCGGGTATCCAAAGCAGTGTCGAGGAACGTAGGTGTCCTCAAGGGCTTAGATGGCAAATTGTCTTCAGTTAACCTAAGAACCTTGGCCCATCAAATTAAGTCAAAAATTAATAATGTAGATAAAGCAACACCGCTTGTGTCCGGCTTGGTTATGCTGGAATTCGTATCCAGAGAAGCCTATGTTAAGGCCCTAAACATAGGCTCAATTGATATTGCCGGGATTCGAGCCAAGGTTGCGTCTCTCCCAGGGGAACAGTTATTCGAAGTAGTCATTCATGGTGTACCTCTGGGAGAGGACCTGTCCGTGTTTCAATCTAACCTGCAGTTTGACAGGTCTGGTGGGGCCTCCTTAATAAGGGCAGATAGGCTCAAAAATAAGAAAAAACAAATGTCTTCGGCTGTAAAACTTACATTTGCGGGGGCCGTCCCCTTAAACGTCTCTATAAAGAGTGAAAATACGGCCATTTTTTTCCAGACGGAGACATATGTGCATCCGCCAACACGTTGTTTTTTATGTCAGGGTTTCGGACATGTGTCCAATATAAGTTGTATTTCGAATTCTCATTTCGCGGACGGACGCGGACTGTGTTGCAAATCTATACTTAACTATTTTAGTTTTAAATGTTGTCTAGGCATGTAGACTTATACTTTTAATTGTAAATATGTATATTACATAGTCTTAATATTTATATATTTTTACTTGTGGCCCTAGGAAGTGGCCGTGAAACGGAAGTTCAATGTGATATTATAAATTTTAATCAATTTATTTTAATTGGGTCTACATGCCAGATATTGTTTTAAAATGTAAATCAAGTGGTCGAACAAAATTGGGAAGGAAGGCTACTGTTACCCTTAATGTTAAAAGACTCCATATAGTGTAAATATCCTTACTCCCCCGCCCTGTGTTTATTTTTTACTTCTTCTCTTTGTCCTGTATATAATACATAAAAGTGTATGTGTTCCCCCATATGGAGCATAAGTTATACGCATACACTCAAGTATGAAGTGGCCTTATATTTGTTAAAAAAGGTCACTTCATCACATTAAGGGTAACAAAGATATTACTTATAGCCATATCTTGGGAATTTTCTAATCTATATTAGACCATTGATTTAAAATAATTGTTATTTTACAAGTTTTTTGTTGTTTTATCCTTATTTGTTAATAGTTGTACAGATACTATACAATGGAGTGTGAAGGGCACCTGCTAAATCTCTATCACGTTCGCGCGACAAACTTGTCGATGTAGGTCAATCCAAAAATTAAGAAAATTTGAAAAATATCACAAAATCGGATTGACCTCCTTATTTTGTAAATAGAGAATTTTCGGCCAATGAGAACAAAGGAGGCAATCACTTTTAGACCAATAAGAACATCTCTAACTAAGCAGGTGTTCGGGTGAAATATACTAGAAATTTATTAAAATCTTATCATTTCCATACTAAAACAAACTTGTTTTTTAATATTCTGACACTCCTTTGTGTATGTATCGGATCAAATTAGACCATTAATGACTAGCCACATTGAATTGGGAAAATGCGTTCCTGACATTGCTTTAACAAGACTTTCTTTCTCTCATTTTAATCATAGAATATTATAATAGTTGACCTGTTATAAGAGACGGTGCTTTTTATAAACGTCTCGGCCCTTTTAACCTTAGGTAATTTAAATATGCTGTTCATTTCTTAAATACACGTCATTTTAATTTAGTATGGGAGCAATCCCATCTTATTCCTATCATGGGTTACGTACTTTTATACGAACTTATGGTAGGAATTATGGCACACACGTAAACACATGTACCGATAAAACTATAGACAAATTAAATTAGTTCCCAAATAAATAAAGCAAGTTTTAAATGAAGTATGTGCTCGCCCATATGGTTCATTCCGGTGGCGAGGGTAAACAAACCAAACACACACACACACTAAAGATTAGTTTTGTTTTTGGCTACCACATTTATTAATGTAATTTTTTAATGATTTTTCAATGTTATAAGATTCATAATGGTTGTATAGTTATGAGCTTAAAGAATAAACATAGTAGTCAAATGATCCTTTCAACAATTATACGGTGAGTTGATGTTTTCGTAATGATGTCAAAATAAAGCCAAATCAGTTATTACAAGTTTAAAATCATACATAGAGAACATTATGTATCAAAATTACCCTTAAGATTTTTCATGCAATTGCTTGGGATTGTACTTTGTTTTGCACTCAAGATTCATACTGTTTCTAGCATATACTAAGTAATAATTTAGCATCTTACATTGCAGGGTCAGGTGCTCATGTCAGTAGGTCACTGAAGGCTTAAGCGGGAAAGGAATAAGAAGATACTGGACGGCATTGTGTCCAGGTACAGGAATGATGGCGTCCCCCCACCAAAAGTGCTGTACACTGACAGAGATTGCTGTGGCCGGCAGTGTGTAAGGAAGTACTTCGATGCCTGGCCATTCCTTCATGTGAAGTACGTAGTCTATGACACATTATATCAGTTGCTCTTGAAATAGAGTTGGTAGAGTCTCATAGACTCTCAACCCTGAGGTTGTGAGTTTGAGCCTCAGCCTGTCCTTATATTTTGGGTTGGGATTGGTCATGAATTTTCTTTGGCCATTCTCCCCCTACCTCTTATTCAAGTAGGGCAGTTGTCAGTTCCTGGCATAAGTAAATGTATATGCACTTATTACTGGAATACTGCTTATTCTAAGCTTGCCCAGAAAAAGTGTGAGTATGTTAACCCACTGCTGTTGTATGACTAAAATACTGTTCAATACAGCAAAAAAATTGATAAAACGGTCTAATGGAGGAAAAGAAAGCGAAGGCAAGTGCTTGGAAATTAATTTGCTCACAGTCATATATAGAAGTAGAATTTTTGTGGTATAGTTTGTTCAGTATATTTATGGAATTTACTTTCACCGTTTCAGACTTGGCATATGGCACTTCATTCGATGGTTTCCAAACGAATGCACCACAGACAAACATCAACTCTACTGACTCTTCATGGCAAGGCTTAGTCCTTGCATCTTTAAGATTGATGAAGACGACTATGCTCGTCTGATGAGGGCCAAGAGACAAGAACTTCTACTTCAGGGTGTTCCAAATCCATCCAATAATGACATTATTAAACATATCTCCCCGTATGAAATGAATCGCCACTGCAAGCGTGCAACAAGAGGCACAAAAGAAACAACAAAACACATCACAGACTTGATTGCATCATTGGAAGGTGAAAGAGGTAAATTTATCATTTTTTATTTTATGTGATACATTTAATATCCACAGGTCTTTATAATAATGGTAGTCACTGTCCACGACAACTAAATAAGTATGTCGGACAGGTAGAGTGTAACATTTCTTTGTCCAGTGGGACAAATGAAATTCTCAAGGCCATTGAATTTTAAAGAGGTTTTGTTGATAGATACAATTCTTCATTTAATTAAGATTTTATGAAAAACCATGTTGCACTATCACTAGTCACTTTTTTCACCTGTGTAACATAGTGGCACTTATAGTTAATTAATTATACATGTTTTAATTATCTTATTCGATTTATTTGATTATCAACTTTTAATTAGTTTTATTTGCAAACTTCATTACTCAATCATATGTCGATATTATATACATTTCTTTGGAATGTTGTCTCATAAAATTTGAAAGTTTAACTACATATACATTACTGGCAGTGAAACAAAACCGTGTTATTTGCCTACCAGCTGACAGATGTTGTTTACTTCGATTATGATATTTCAATATTTAAGTACAGTTCGTCAAATTAGACGTTAAAATGACAATTAAATATAAACCATTTTAATTGTTGTGATGAGTGTTTATCAATATAACATTTGACCAAAAGTCAAATTTGAATATGTAAACGTGCTTTTGATTGGTTATAGGGCGTAACAAAAGTTTGTTACACTAAAAGTGATTGGCTACTTTGGTATGTCATTTAGCTGTCATAAGCACGTGCAAAGTCATTATAAAAAGCATTGCATTGTTTTAACAGTGTTGAGTCTCTCGTAGTTCTGTTCTTGAATTACTTAACTTATGTTAAGGACATTAATTGAATAAATCACTATACGATCGTTTTCGTTTGTTAATTATTTTAAGAATAACGTTACATTAACTTAAATATTTTTGGTGCCGTGACCAGGATCAAACCTCGGTTGGAGAAAAACTTTGACAGCACCCATACTAAAGGTTGGTTTATTTTCTTAGCATTTTCTTATTTACTTCATTTAGCCAACTTTACTTTTAAATTAGTAATAATTTAACTTGTTTTATTTTACTTTTGAAATTAAAATTTTGAAATAAAAATGGCTGAAGCTGAGGAAGATTTTCGTGAGGTTTTGAGGTTATTATCTGTCGAGATGGGATATGTCTCTACAGCTTTCGTGGCACAGGGTATTTCCCAAGTGGTAAGTAACTTTGATGGCAGCCCAACAAACTACAGAGACTGGGTCAAATCCATTGAAAAATACAGTAAGCTGGTAAACTTACCAGATAACAAGAAAAAGCTTATAGCGTATCAAACAAGTAAAGGGGCTGTATCAGGTTACATTCAACGATATATGACTGCCAATCCTGACCACACTTGGGGACAATTAAAGGAAGAATTAGCTTTAAGATTTTCAGACGTAACTGATTCACATCATGCAATGTCCTTGCCTAGGGGTCTTAAGCAAGGTCATTACGAGAATATTCAAGTTTATGCAGAAAAATTGTTATCATTAGCAGAAATTGCTTTTCATGACCAGGGAGGGCCAATAGTTGAGGGTCAATTAATAGACATTTTTGTAGATGGTCTGAATAATGAAGGGTTAAAAATGACTATAATGAGAAGGGGTCCAGATACTTTACAGGCGGCAATTAGCTTGGCTACAACTGAGCAGAACTTGAAACAGAGAGTGAATTTAGCAACTGGGTCTAAAAAACATTATGTTAACAATGATGTACCTCAGCCAATGGAGGTAGACCATTCCAGGACACTTAAGTGTTATAAATGTAAAAAGTTTGGCCATATGGCGAAACACTGCAAATCAATTCATGAGGTTCAAAGAAAAATAAAATGTTGGCATTGTGGACAAGAGGGGCATATTATTAGATTTTGTAAAAATTATGATAAAGATAAGAAACCAAACATGGGTCATGGTAGGAGACTGAATGATGATTTAAACTAACAAGTTCTTCACATGTTGAAGCCCATGTGGAGAACAGTAATGATAACGAATCAGAAATTAAAACTTTTCACATAAATTTAACTGGTAATCCAAATTCATGTTTAGTAAAGATATTAGGTCATAAATATAGAACACTTGTTGATACAGGAGCAGAAGTATCCTTTGATGCACAGAAGAGTTTATGATTCTTTAAAAACCAAACCAAAACTTAAACGTCATAATGTACATCTCCAGAGTGCTGGTGGGGATTCTTTAGAAATTGATGGGTCTATCAATATAACTGTACAGATCGGTGGTACCGAAATGTCGCAAATGTTCTATGTTGTGCGAAATCTTAATAGAAATTTAATTTTAGGGACTGACTGGAGTTAGAATATATTTTGATTTAGGTAATGACAATTTTATGTCATCAGATGATGCCATGTCAGTAAATGAGATGAAATTATCTAAAAACTTGATTACTGTCAAGTTGAAAAGAAAACAAAAGAAAGTGAATAAAGGTGGTTCAGATCTCAAAATGAAGAGATTCTTTAAAGCACTTTCAGATTTGTTTTAGGCTTCAAATATTTAGGAACATTTATTTTTAAGTTATTACTTAAAGTTCCTCTTTCTTTTTAATATTTTTCAGGATTTTTGTAACTTTACGTTGCAACATGGATTTAAAAAGCATTTTGTTCATTACAATGATTAGCCATACCTTTGCTTTAAAGATAAGCGAAAATGTTGTATTTGATAAAGTAAATGAAATTTCAACCAGTAATTCAAAATGGTTGGTCACATTTGTGCATATGAAAAGTTCCTACATAAAATAAACAACGATTTAAATAATACGAATGAAATATTAAAGGTAATAACAAATTATTACCGTAAGACAAATAACACAGGGTATTCATATACTAAATATGACAGTTTACATAAAGAAGTAGATATGATAAATGAAACATTACTTGACATCAAAAATAATTTTGAGGATTATAGATCCATAAGATCAGAAAGTAGTCTATCGAAACGTTCATTAATACCAGTTATAGGTCAAATATCTTCCCTTTTGTTTGGAACAGTTTCAGAAAAAGACTTACAACATATAGATAGAAATATACAAATTCTTGCAGAAAATCAAGAAAAATTAATTCATGATTTAGAACAAAGTATTACTTTATTAAATTTGTCAAGGGTTCAGATATCAAAAAATCCTAGAGCTATAATGGATATAATCATATCCGTTCAAAAATTAGATAAAGCAATTTAAAATGTGAAGGAACAGTTTTCTAAAAGAATTGCAAATTTAGAACAGTTTTTAAATACATACTTTCAGTTCAAATTGATAATTGATGAAATAAAACAAGCAAGTCAAGATGCACTTTTGTATCTCAGGAATTTAAGGAATGAATTAGACATTTTATCTATGAATAAATTAACACCAAGTACTATTTCTCCAAAGGACTTGAAAAACTTATTGTTAAAAATAAAAGAACAAATACCTAAAACAATGAAGTTACCTGCAAACCCAAAGACAAATATTTGGTATTTTTATCACACTTTAAATTGTAATGTATACCTTGATGGTGATTAGATTTTGATTGTCTTAACTGTTCCGTTAATAGATGTAAGAGAAAGTTATGAAATTTGTAAAATAACAAGCTTACCTTTACCCTTGGAAATGTTACTTTAATCAATGGTCAGTCATCTAATTTATAAGCTCAATACAGACTAGAAACAAATGCATTAATGATTGACAAAGCAAGAACAAAACACGTACTGTTAACACCAAAGGAATTTCGGTATTGTAGTCAGAAACATCTTAAATTTTGTTATATTAATAACGCTGTTTACCCAATTAACCTGAGTAAAACTTGTGTCATAGCTTTATTTTTGGAACAAGTTGAAAAGATACTACAGTATTGCAAAAGTGTTGTCAGCTTAAACATGAAATTGCCGTATGCAAAGTATTTACATTCTAGGACTTGGGTAGTTGTTTCAGACCATTCTCTGAAATTTACAATTGTTTGTCAAAATCACACAACAGTTATCTCAATAATACCGCCCATGGGTGTTATAAGGTTAAATCCAGGATGTAAAGCATCTAGTGATTTTTTTAGTATAACGTCCTTTGACCAGAAAAGGGTTAGTTTTCATAATACAGATTCCTTAGATTTCCTCACATACAAAATTCACAATTTTTCTAAATTACTGTTATGGTACAACTTTTCTAGGGAATTTCCAAACATAACACAAATACAGTTGCCTGAAGAACTGAGACACTTGAAAGAAATACCTATGCCTTCATTTATGTATCATGTACAAAAGTATAAAAAGATTAATGTAAAACAAAAGTCTCTGCCCGCTTGGGTGTACTTTGTAATTGTTTGTTGCTGCATTATTATTATATACATCATACGCAAATATTTTTGTAAATGTAATGCATGTAAAGTAATAGAAAATAGGTTGGCTAAATGTTGTAAGGGAGCAAATCCTGAGGTCGTAGGGTCAGTGTCATCAAACAAAGATGAGAACGTTGTTATCGATTCTGGAAGGCAATTATCTTCCACACCTGACCGAGAAGAAGCGAATAAAGTGGCTTCGTCATTTTCGTTGAAGACGAAAGGATTTTGTTATTAAAAGAATACAAACACTTTTTTGTTGTGCACGTGTGATCATTTGTAAATATATTCATTTTAAGTTGAAAAGTCTACTCGGGGTGTACTCTCAAAGGGATCCCAGATGAGTAGTGAAGATACTTTTAATTAATAAGAAAAGTCTATCCAGGGTTAACTCTCAAAGGAATCCCACATGGATAGTGAAGATTTTGTTAGGTTTTATTAAGACTTTATATAGTGCACGTGAATTATTCGTAAAGAAAAACAAGTTAATGTACACATATAAAACATAAATGGATTTACTTTCAGAATTTGAATATGGATAATTATCAAGACTTGATAAAACTAGTCGCAAATACCTGTTCCGAAGAAAATGATGTCAATACGGAAGACGAGGATGAAAATTTCGAATTAAATGAAATAGTTCATATCAATCGATGTTTGACAAAACCTATGGATGTAGACATTATGCTAACATATTACAAAAATGATAAACCGAAAATCGTTGAAGGAACCCTAATTAACATTGCAGATAACAACAACAACTACAACAACAAACGTTAGATGACGGAACCATTCAACACCATCGACGGCGGCAAACCAATTGAATCCAATTTAACGAGGAACATTAAAAATAATTATTGTGTGCAGTTTTCAGGACATTGATTAAAATTGAATATTTTATTATATTTATTTTTAATATAGGACTTTAAAAAAAAAGTTCAAGTGCATTTCTCTTAAAA